TAAAAGATTAATTTGTCATTTTTCTCCTTCATCTTAGGTGAATTGTGTGGCCTCGAGGCATGGTGTCCGCATGGTTTGGGGTTCAATCCCCGATAAGGGCTGGGATTTTTTCACGTGGACTTGGGCTTATGGTAATTCTCTAGGTAGTAAAATTGGACGTCCATGTGCATTGTTGCGCACGTAAAAAATTCCTTGGCAGTCGGAAATCAAAAAGATAAGCCTAACGGTGCTGTCAGGGCAAAATTATGAGTTAAAAATGTATCAAAAGTATCTCGGGATGCTCGCTGGTGCTACAGAGCCTGTGCACTGTGCTGAGCTTCTTCGGACTCAGACCTGAGTTAGAAGAAGAACGGAGCATTTATGCCTATATGTGCCAAGATGTTGATCTGTTGTTGAAACCTCAAAGCTCTTTCTTCTTCTTCTGCTTCTTCTTTGTTTGCTAGGGAAAGAAGTTAAGTTTTGCCCTATAACAGCATGACTGCAATATGTGTGCCTTCGGCCGACTCTCTGACATCTTCAGGTGTAGATTAGGATCGATTAGGATCCCTGGTTAATTTTGTGGGACATTGGACAGCCTCATTGTTGTGTCATCATCTTTGAGTACTAACCCATGGCTTGTACCCTCCTTCAGGGACAGAGCAGGTCAGCTCGCAAGAGAAGTCAGGGAAAGATCTCCAGGTGGCTTCTGGGACTTTAATCTTAGAGGGATAAAAAAGTCCCACTGCTTCCCCCTTCTCTTCAACAAGCAGGTAAACAAAAAAAGGCAAGAAATTAGGGAAGTTTCCTTTGAAGTCAAAGTGATCTGCTCGAGAGGCAAAAAGCCAACAGTCTGCATATAAATAAGCCAATTCTGTAAAACAATGTGCATATGAATCTCACGTTCTAAAATAATACCACAGACCAGAAATGGACGAACAACCAGAACTTTCTGCTTGAGTTTACTGCTGGTGAACACTACAACATTAGCATTCCCAGCCATAACAATAATTTAATGAAAAACAAGAAATATTACTGGCAATTTGACTTTCATGTTTTTTAATGTTTACTGTTACAACTTTATGTTTTTTATGTTAATAATATGAATATTTCCAAAGGTTTTAACTAACACTGATAAATGAGAGGTGGAAATAAGTAGCTACAGTAGACAGAAGAATATAAAAAAGTAAGCACACTGTATGTTAGAAATATATATATATATATATATATATATAATATATATATATATATATACTATATATATATATATATATATATATATATATATATATATAAACAAAAAAAGACAGTATAAATTTAATAGTTTATTAGACATTTGAAGATGTATTATTCTGAAAACAATTATGAGAGAAGCCACTTTGTAGGAGCATAAACTGATTTCTATTCTACACAAAGAAATTCTGCAAATTATGAATATAAAAGCAAGTCAGTGTTTATAATAACACTGCCAAGCTGGCAACTATAAGTTCATTTCAAGTTATTATGTCCTAATAAATATTAATCCTATTAACCCTAGATTCTGAAAACAAATATTAAAGCAGCCACTTGGAGAAGCATAACTTCTTCAATGTTACAATAATCTGTTACATTCTTGTTGTTACTCTTAATCCTTCGGTGTAATAGTCAAAGGTTTGACTAAGTCCCAAGTCAAGTATCAAGTCACAAAGAAAGTGTCTAACTCAACTTCTTAGTCAATCATTTTTATGTTTCAAGTCATCTGCAAGATGTGCTTGGGACAATGCTTATGGATCGGATCAATCAAAAATTGTGAAGGTTGAAGAACTCACTAACTTTATATAATAAAAGCAAAAGAAGTCAAATGTGAAACCTCGACAAATCAAAATATAATTGATTCTGTCCTGTTTTATATGAAAATGTGACATGGTTCACAAAACCTTACAGTGACCGCCCACGAAGAAAGACTTGTAACAAAAGTCGTCAAAGCAAGAAGTCGAAAGTCAGATTGTGAATCGCCGGACAAACCCCCAAGTTGAGTCACAAGTCGTTAATTATGCGATTTAAGTCAGACTCGAGACCAAGTCATGCAACTTGAATTGAGACCTCTGGTAATAGCTCTATTATGTTAACTCATCAAGACTAATAGTTCCTGCCCTGAAGCAGAGGCACCTTGGGGTTAAAAGTTTAAGTAACCAGTGCCAAGGAATGAAAAACGTAAAGGAAAATTATTAGTTTGACTCTTTCAGTGCCAGAAGACGGTAATAATTACAATGACAATATAACTATGACAGACAGGCAACATTTATAAAACTTGTATACACAAACACTGAGTTGTGTGCTAAAATATCTAGCCAGCCTTCTTTACTGCTGTCAGACCAAACGTGAAAGATATAATAACACAGTGTGAGTTGTTTTGTATATAAGGGTTTATTATCATGGTGTGTTGCCTGGGGCTGAAACATTAAAAACAAAATTTCAATAAAAAATCATAAGTAAATAAATTTGTTTACTTTCAAACATGACTGAAATTCCATCCATTGAAATAATTTTCCTTAAACATGACAGCTCAAAAATAAAAGTTGTTTCCATATTTTAATTAAATGTAAACTGGTTATCTATTTAATAACTATAAATATTTGGCATTTGGTTGGTGGAAACCATCTTTCAGACATCTTTTTTCAAATAAAAACCACCCTAAAAAGAAAAAAAAATTCCTAGAAGATACTACAGCATGATTCAAGTGTGTTAAACATTATTGGCACTGTTTTAAAAAAAAAAATGTTTTTTGTTTGTTTTACAATTGACACAAAGATCAGTATCATATGAACAAATAAAAGACAATAATATTCAACAATGCTGGCATCCTTTGATTTTACCAGATGATAATGTTACACTGTGCTACAGGGAAGTGAAAGAATCACAGCTACACAGTTTGTGCTATGGAGATATATAATCTTTTATCATAAAAAGATCAGGGAAAAAATATGGTAAGCAAGCTTGAAAATCGGCACAACCATATGTGACAGAATAACCACTGTCATTTATCAGCAAGCAGAACAACAACAAAAAAGTGTAAACAAGACAAATAAATACAACAGTGCACCCACTAATAAAGTTATCAATTATTTGTTGTATCTTCAACTTTACGACAAACGGTTAGAGCTGCTCCAGTGCGAGTGAAAAATCACAACAACAAAAACCGTCACTGACTCATTTTTAAACTAGTAAAGAACAATTCAGTACCAGCCAAATCTAGAAGCTTGCATACATAAAGTATACCTGCATAGTATACCCACATACAAACAACACCCACATATGAAGTATACTCACATATATAATGTATGCCCACATAGACATATGAACGGAGCTGGACTTATTTTTAAAAATGACTTTAGCTTCTAGACTGACCCAGCCTTAATGGTCACCAGGTAAAGTTTTGGGAAGTAAAGGCAGCTAGCATGACAGTGACTACATCACCCATAGAGTGCCAATAGGTCTAGCCCTATATTCCCAATACACCTGAAGGTGTGGAAGAGGGGTTGTTTACATACCTTTATTTACTTAGATATAATCATACACATGTTACAAATACTAACAGATATTACACTATGTGTCCCTTCTCCCCTTTTGCCCCATATACCTTGCATTTCACAGAGCTGTCAGTTACTCCCCAATTAATATACCTGTATAAACAAGTTATAATGAAAACAAAAAGTTCACAAAAATGCTCTTCAAAATTTTAACGCATACTCTTTTATCAAAAACTGCAACATCCTTATATCGAAAAAATATCACCTTTTGCAAAATACTGACAAATGGCATATGTTCACAAAACCGAGAGTGAATCAAATTCTCAAATGAATGGCACATTTAACATAAGCAAATAACATATGGGCATTAAAGATATTGTCTATCCACCCACCAAGCAATGAACCACATCTCTAGGACTTTTATCGGCAACACTGGAAGTTGATGTTGATCAGAATGAAATTACATATTTCACTTTATGAAAATAAAATATTTTATTTTCGATAAATAACAATTTCATCAAGTTATTTATTTCAGCATTTGATATATTTCAGCAAATGATATTCAGCAAGTGGTATATTTCAGCACAGCATTTTATGTCCTTCATCCACTGATATATTCAGCATATGACAAATTCAGCAACAGACATTTCAGCAAATGAACTGTTTCAGTTAATGACATTTTTCAATAAATTACATGTTTTAGCAACAGGCATTGTTCAGCAACAAACAAGTTTCAGAAAATTACATGTCTCAGCAATGACATTTCAACAAAGGACATGTTTCAGAAAATGACAAGTTTCAGCAAGGATATATTTCAGTAAATTACATGTTCCAGCAAAGGGGTTACATTTCAGCATTGCTGACAGAAGCCAGCTTGTCATTGGAGCAGCAGCAAAAGGGTGAAATGGGAGCTGATGGTGTAAGGGCATTAGGTGAATAATATCAAAACACCAGCATATATCAACACTTACTGCAAGAAGTGGCACAAGGTATCAAAGGGAAAACAAGTTCTGAAAGACAGTAAACAAGCACAGACTAGAGCCACAATATGAACAGCGATTTAAACAATGTTCAGTTCAGTGGAAAACACTGAGGGCAACCAGAGCTCTTTATTTCGAGAGATACAGAATGGCTGAATCTGTTTTATGCTTACAACTCTCTTCTGCTCATCTTGACTTCCAATGTCTAGACATGGTACCATATTTCTGCACAGAACAGAAAGTCATTCAGGTGGGCTTTTCAAAAATGGCTGAGAAGATGCTGTTATTAATGAATGAACTGATTTCCAGCTCTCTTCTGCTTATCTTGACTTCCAGTGTCTAGACATGGTACCATATTTCTGCACAGAACAGCAATTCATTCAACTGGGCTCCTCAAAAATGGTTGAGAAGATGCTTTCATGAAGAATGAACTCATATCCAGAATGTAAAGTATTCATGGATGCAAAAATTAGGTTGTTGGTAGAGTTGAGTTTCAGCAAAAAGTGAGATAATCTGACATTATTAACTGTTTATTTCACAAATAGTCTGGCTGAAAGCATAAATAGTTTATGAGTCTACGTGGCAGTGGTAGAAGCTTTAAAGTTTCTGGGGGAAAGGTCTGCAGAATGCGAATCCGACATCTATTCTGAAGATTCCCTCGGATGGGGAGTTTGTAGATCTGGACATGGTCTATGGGTGTTTCTAAGTCATTTAGAACAATGGCCATTCGGCTTCCACATTCAGAAAAGACTGGCATGTAGCTGACTAGGCAAGAATGCTGCCCACAGGCATAACGGTGGTACTGTACGCAGTGGAGGATTTGAGCTGTGTCGCCATCGAATACATAAATGCTGACATCGATGGGCTGGAACCTCCGAGCTTTCCTTTCCTTGCAGTGACATCCACTGGTAACCATAACAGCAAATATAAGATGCCCATCTCTAGAGAATTTTAAATCCTTGAGGCTGGGGTTCAGACTAGAGTTGAAGTCATCCACTCTAGAGTTGGTGGTGATCACATCCCACGATGGTACTTGGACTAGACTTAAACTGTTGTCCTCACTGGGAACAAAGCTGGTAACTGCAATTCTGGAGGAGCAGCAGCGGGGATCGAACACAAACAGAGCATGGTTGTAGGCTAAATCCACCTCGGATACCAGCTCCCTCGTGTTGATGTTGTAGAGCTGGAAGACAAACCCGCTGCCACCAATCTTTGTAGTTGGATGCTTGATCAGGCATAACGTCCCATCTGGAGAAATCTCTCCTCTCAAAGCTTCATTAACAAACTCCACCCGCTGATTTCCAAATATTCCCAGAAACTTATTGGCTTTCAGGTCAATGATACCAAACTGTGTCATGAGATTACGAACTAAATGCAAAATAACTGTGTGCCCTTGACAACACAGCACACTATTTACATGAAAGTTCTGAATGGAGGACAAATGAGCTGGTATATGGTTGTATTCAAAGTGTTCAGCCATCTTTGTAAACTTGCTCTTTCTTCGGAAGCTGAAGAAGGGTTCCGATTTGTTGACATTGAGCAAGCCTTGACGGTTGATGCAGAAAGCTGGACTGCAGTCCTTAAACACAATCCCATTACAGGTGAGGGTTGTTTCAGAAAATGCTGCTGCAGCTGTTGGGAGAAGACCAGATAAGAGATTACTTGCTTCTTCACACAAAATTACCTTTGTTTCTTTTTCCTCTTCTTCAGTCCTCTTTTGAGTTGAGTACATCACTGCTAACTGAGTTAGGGAGGATGCCATGAGCAAGTGGTCAAGACGTTTGTTCTGAAGGTCCCAGGTTTGTTTCATCAAACAAGCCATTCAGTTCATAAGTGCATCTCCCCTGTGGGTTACGGGGCCCCCAATTGGGTGTGGGGGTAGGGTGGGGAATAGACCAATATCCACTCTAAAGGAATGAAGGGATGTTTCTTTGAAGTCGGAATGCATCTGCGTGAGAAGTTAAGAACCAACAGTTTGCATACACATATGTCAGATCTGTAAAACTGATGAGTATGCATATACGCAAGGTCTGGGACAAAACCAAGAACTTTCCATCGGAGTTAACAGCAGAGGAATGCTAGAAAAATAAGAGGAAGAAGAAGAAGGAGGAGGAGGATGAAGATACAAGTGTATCATTTCATTTTATTTAAAATATATTATTATATCTACTGTTTTTCAGTATTAAATGAGTCTGAGCCTTCTCTCCCATTTAATGGAGGTCGGCGGAACAAATGCAAGGGATTCCTTGTAAACAAAATGTTTAAACCTTTTACTTTAGAAGGCAATCGTTTTTGCGATTCTAATATTTATTATAATAAGGGAAACGATCATGACAAACAGTCCAAACCAGCAACCATTCATCATGTAACAGGTCCTTTGCAGAACGTCGCTCTCATCACAGTCTGCCTGTAAGAAACTCGGTCTCTTGCCAGTTCTCCCGCCTCATGAACTTTCACACTCAAGGAGTCACTTATATCCTGTCCCCATCTTCGTGTCGGTCGGCCCCTGCCCCTCCTTCCTGGTACCATACCTTCTGCTATAATTTTTTCCAATCCGTCCTGGCGCTTGACACCAACAACCAGTGACCACAAATAACCAAACACATGCAAATGTAGAACATTTCACATATCTTGGCAGTGTCGTGTCCCTACTGGGAGGGACAAAGGAAGACATACAGTCACGTCTAAACAAAGCTAGAGCTGCTTTTGGAAGGATGAGGCAAATCTGAAAATCCAACAGTTACCACAGAAGAATGAAACTCCGACTCTACAAGAGCATCATTTTGCCAGCTCTTCTTTATAGAGCAGAATGTTGGAGAATGACCAAAAAAGGATGCACATAAACTGTCCACCTTCCACCACATATCTCTACGTAGTATAATCACATTTTTCTGGCCAGATACAATCATAAACACAAAACTACTTCAAGTCACAAACCAAGAAACTCTAGACAGTATGATAACCAATAAAAGATGGAAATGGCTTGGCCACGTTATGAGAATGAATCCTTATATACCTGCCAAAACAGCTCTCACATGGATACCAGAGGGAAAGAAAAAAAAGCGGCGCTCAAAAACAACATGGAGACGAACGATGGAAAGTAACCTGAGTGCGGCATCTCAGACATGGAAAACTGCACAGAAGATTGGACAGGACAGGAAAGCATGGAAAGTCCTCTCTGAAGCCTCATGTGCCACAAGGCATAAAGAGAATTGATGATGATGTTGAATATTGATTATATGAATATTTATTATAGAATACCGTGGACCGAGAAGAAGAAAAATATCGTCATCCTACACAACCTGGGCACCGATTAGAACTGGCTCAGCGTTTTTCAAAAACTGGGGTATTATATCGACATCCTACACAACCTGGGCACCGATTAGAACTGGCTCAGCGTTTTTCAAAAGCTGGGGTATTATATCGACATCCTACACAACCTGGGCACCGATTAGAACTGGCTCAGCGTTTTTCAAAAGCTGGGGTATTATATCGACATCCTACACAACCTGGGCACCGATTAGAACTGGCTCAGCGTTTTTCAAAAGCTGGGGTATTATATCGACATCCTACACAACCTGGGCACCGATTAGAACTGGCTCAGCGTTTTTCAAAAGCTGGGGTATTATATCGACATCCTACACAACCTGGGCACCGATTAGAACTGGCTCAGCGTTTTTCAAAAACTGGGGTATTTTGACCATGTTAAACGTTATGGCCGGCATGTGTGGCTAAGGCGTTGCGAACATGCTTCGTAATGCCGGGGTCCTGGGTTCGATCCCAGCTGCAGGCCTTGCGTTGGTTTTAACAGTGGTATCGAGAAACCGACCGTCCAGCAGGCAATGGCAAACTACTGGATGTAAATTAGCCTAGAAAAACCATAACAGACAAAACAATGCTGGGGTTGGTTCTGCAATGTCCTATAAAGGATACGCGACTAACTAACTTTTTTTTAAAGTCAAAGTAGCCGAGAGAAAACTGTGATAGAGAACTGGATAGAGGAAGTCATGACTTCCAGGCGTGCCGTGACGTGACGTGCCGTGACGTGACGAGAGTGACGGCACGTGAAGAACTTGCTGATTGATGCTAATGAACAAAATAAAGAATTTCAATGGCAGGACACTTAAAAATACATGTCTCTATAGATACACGCGCGCGCTTGTGTGTGTGTGTGTGTGTGTGTGTGTGTGTAAACACGTATACTTGCATTCCTACGTGGGCGTGCATTCTTCTTCTGCCTATCTATCCCCCAATGGAGCATAGGCCCTCAACCAACTCAGGACATGTCATTCTATCCTTTACCATTACATGAAGCTCTCCCCATGTCCTCCCCATCTTTTTAACTTCATTCTCTAGCTTTCTTCTCCATGTTTTTGGGCCTTCTTTATGCCTATGCCCTGTGGGTTCCAATGCAAAGACATTCTAGTTATGCTGTTCTCTTGTTTTCTCAGTGCGTGTCCTATCCAACGCCAGCGTCTTTTCCTCACCTCTTGGTCTACTGGCGCCTATTTAGTTCTCTCCCAAAGTTCTACATTAGTTATTCTATCATACCATTATCATACCCCATACAAAAGCACTGATTTGACATTATAATTAAAAATTTTTAGTTTAGTATTTCTTTTAATTTCTTTTGACCTCCACAAATGCCCTAGTGCTATGAAAGCCCCTCTTGCCTTTTGTATTCTTATTTTAATATCTTTATCTGTTCCTGCATCTTTATCTACATTACTGCCTAAATAGGTGTAAGACTCCACTTCTTGGATTGGGGTGCCATTAGCAGAAACCACATTACTGTTTGCCTCATTTATTCTCATTATCTTTGTCTTTCCTTTATGGATTTTCAGACCATTTTGCTGTGATCTCGCATCAAGTATATTTAATTTATTTTGCATCTGATTCCGCGAATGGGACAGAAGAGAAATATCATCAGCGAAGTCCAGATCATCAAGCTGTTTTGTATCGATCCACTGAAGTCCATTCTTGGTGTTAGCAGTTACTGTTTTCATAATCCAGTCTATAGCCAGTAAGAGAGGCGACAAAAGACATATCTGCCGCAAGCCTGTTTTTATTTCAAATGTATATGTTAGCGTTCCCTCATAAAGAACTCGACATTTCATGTCTTTATATGTTGCCTTTACTAAGTTAATATTTTCTGTGGAATTCCATAGTACCCTATCAATTTCCAGGGAGATTCGCTATCAATGCTGTCAAATGCTTTTTCATAGTCTATAAATCAAATGTAAAGTGGTGAGTTCAGTTCAATGCTTTGCTCTATTATAATACGTAATGTGGCTGTCTGGTCAGTACAGGATCTTTTTGACCGAAAACCTGCCTGTTCATTTTTTAGCTTTTTATCAATAGCATCTTTTAATCTTTCCAAAATAATTCTACTTACTGACAGCAACAACATAATTCCTCTATAGTTTTCAGCGTGTATACGTGTATGTTATATATGTGTGTGTGTGTATGTAACTGTACATGTATGTCTATATATGTTTGTGGCTGTGTATAGTGCATACCAGAGCCTCCTCAACAGCCATCACTAGGTACCACAGCACCGCTCCAAGCCACCAGTTTTGGTGCTATTAATATTTCTTAGCCAACATAATTGACACAAAGAAATCAGACCACAATTATAATTGATACTGCTCGCAGTAAGTTGAACGTGATCGATTTTTTGTTTCTAAACACATGAGAGTAAAGAGTATGCAGGCATCATGTTTGGCTTCTCCGATTGGTCCCGGCACTCCGACGAGTGGGGACCAGAGCTGCCGAAGTTGGTACTTTTGTGCACATTTGGTACTATTTGACCCTTGCTTGTGCTGTCGACATAAACTGCAACAACTTTAAAGAAAAACAAAACCCTGAAAACATACCTCCATGTCCGGAGTTCCACTGATCCAGGGAACACTGATGCAGCAATGACCAGGGTCTAGCGCTTTGGACTTGTTTGTTCAAGTTGGCCACCACAGCACTGGCTCCCATTAGTCCATAGTTGCCGTTGGAGGACTCCTGGGCTCCCATTCTGTTAGCCCTGTTGGAAGGAATATAAGCAAATACTGAAGTCTTGTAACATGTTGCTGTTGTGACTTCGCTGATTGACAGTGCCCTTACAAAAGTGTGTGTGTGTGTCTGTGTGTGTGTGTGTGTTTGTGTGTGTGTGTGTGTGTGTGTGTGTGTGTAAAAGGGGAGTGGGGATGTTTAGAACTTCCTAAACTTAAGAAAACTGGTGCGGGGGTCGGGTCGGGGGCGGGGGGGGGGGGGGGCTCAATAGGCCTCACATCCCATATTCAGACAATTAAAATGTTGAGGCTGAGTCCTCTTCAACATTCTCCTTCCTTTCTCAAGAAATGTTATGTACTTTTAAAAGACTCAATCGAAAACAGGGAGACCGGGTTTGAATCCTCAGTAGGGTTGGGGATTTTTTTTTTCTGTCAGGGGCAAAATAACATTCTCACCTGCACAGTCCGTAACGACAGCATTGGCCATGCGGCCCTAAATCCTCAAGCTCCAAGAATCCCCCCCCCCCTTTTTTTTACACAGGCTAGTGGGGAAAAAAAAAAGGGGGGGGGGGGCTAAACAGCAAAAGTCGTATAATAAAAAAAACAAAAAATAATGAGCAGAATCGAGAACAGAAATATTAAAAGAAGATTGAACATCGGTTCAACATATCATCACTACAAAAGGAGTTACAATAAAAGAAGCTAAAGCGTTTCAATACTTAAGCAGCGTATTCATGGACTATGGAGGATTGAGTAGTCAAACAAAAAACCTGAAGACTGATATGTTATCACAATCAACATGACTGCACATTGATTGGGCATTTCCATGCGTGCTCAGTCCTCTGATGCAGCAGCCATTCTAAAGTACTTCTACTAATTGTTCCCATGAGAAGCTGGCTATATTGTCTCCTATCTCGGCCTCGAAGACGGCACAGACGTGCTTCATCATGCTTTACTCCCATGTCACTCAATCGTGTTAGTGTCAGGGATTTCTCGTTATCTACTAGCCTAGTCCGTACAGCGTTGACGATATCTGCTCTGTCTATGCTTCTTCCCACATGCCTTTGTGCAGTGCTTGCCAGTTGGTCCGCTCGCTCATTTCCCTTTACGCCTGCAGGACTAGGTGTGCAGATCTAGGTGAGGGAGGTTAAGCGCAATTTTTGGATGCTTTCAGAGCGCAAAACAGTAGACAAACAACTTCAGTTACCGAATAGCTCTACTTCTGAGACATTAACATGCACATATAAAAAGCAGCTAATAAATGCATTATTCGTACCAAAACATAAACGCAAAATTACATGTGATACGAGATTTGTAAGAAATGCGGCGGGAGAAACAAGAATTCACAGAATCGTCGACGAAGAACTAAAAAAAAATGATGGACACAGTACCGGAAAATTATTTCATAGAACATCAAAGAATGAAATGGTTTGGTCATCTAGTCATAATGAAACGAAATCAGCCAACGGCTAGAGCGAACTACATGACAACAAGAGGCTACATGTCCAGAGGCCGACCAAGAAAGATATGGGTGGAGGGAGTAAAAAGAGACACTACATAAAGAGAATATGGCATTAACACAAGCTACTCAAATAGCAAAGGACAGGAAACTGCATATAACTCCTCCCTGCGACGCTTTATGGCATAGGCAGTAAGACACACACAAACAAACACACATAAGAAAAATGGAGAAGATCGATAGCAGTGTCAATATTCTTCAATTTGGAATAGAATCTGCAAAAGTATCAGCCTGCAAGCCAACGGTCTCTCAACTTTGTAACAGTAGCAAGGTGTGCTAGTAGTAATGGCTGTAATCGTTACAATTTTCACTGCCAAATAAAAAATGTTTTGTTATTTGATATTACAGTTTACTATTTATTACAAATGGGCCATGGGCCATTCAATTTCGGAAATAGCGAAAATAACTCCGGCGGCATGCTTGCACCACTCATGCAGAAACTGTAACGCGTGAAAGCTACCAGTCAGAAGTAATACAAGGCTAGCTGAGCAGGAATATTTTTAACAGCGAAGCGACGAGTAGGAAAATATCACGTGATACTCTCTTTAGTGTAATCATTACAGGCTACCGTGTACACATGCGAAATGATCACGCCTAACTAAGTGGGAAGAATTCGATTAAGTTGAGTTAAAAACCGACATCACAGCGTTTGGAAGAATCCCACAAACGCTTCGTCGCCATCTTCAGCAGCCAGCGCAGAATTCCACATTCCAATAGGGATGGTACATGTAGCAGAATTAACGCTGGAGCTCCGGATTATGTGCTCTGGGCTCAAAACCATCTAATCCATATGTCCAAATAGCACGTCAAACGTGTTCCCCACAACGTGCAGAGTTCTCTGGCAATTTTCTCTCCTTCAGCAGAACAGACAGTGAATATAAAATAGCTTCAATTACTTCCCTGGACTAAATCCCTTGAGGGTACTAAAATTGTCTCACAATTTGCCTGGCTCCCATCTACTGTCTGGCAAGTTTTTGCATGAAGCTGTCCGCGAGCGTTCTTGGCTGATTGCTCGCTGAGCAAGGCAGCGAAGGATGAGCGTAATCATGCATAGGCAGCGCCGGACGATTGTTTAATTCAGTAGGTGAATGTTTTCTTGAAGTAATAGGTGAATGATTGTTTGATGTAGGAGCTGAATGATTGTTTGATGTAGGAGCTGAATGATTGTTTAATGTAGGAGCTGAATTATTGTTTAATGTAGGAGCTGAATGATTGTTTGATGTAGGAGCTGAATGATTGTTTGATGTAGGAGCTGAATGATTGTTTGATGTAGGAGCTGAATGATTGTTTGATGTAGGAGCTGAATGATTGTTTGATGTAGGAGCTGAATGATTGTTTAATGTAGGAGCTGAATGATTGTTTGATGTAGGAGCTGAATGATTGTTTAGGAGTTGGATGATTGTTTAATGCAGGAGATTCTAAATGAATGTTTTCTCCCCACGCTGGTTCCTGTGCCTCATAGTGGGAGAAAACCAGTACAGACATCCTGCCTACCATAGGAGCTTTCTTTGAAACCGAAGTGCCTTTGCTTGAGATGCAAGGAACTAACAATCTGCATACAAATGAGTCAGATATGTACAACAGGTCTGCACTCAAAACCCAGGTTCTGGAACAGGACTAGAGTCCAGAAGTGGACGAACAACTAGAACTTCAACCAGAGTTTGAAGCCAGTGATCGCGAAGAAGAAAAAGAAGAAGAAGAAGAAGAGGAGGAAGAAGACATCTTGATAACGTAGTATAATCTTCCACTCAGTTGTAATTCATCATATACTTACCGCAGTAGAGGGATGTTCAACTAATTTCAATCACTAGCCAGTTAGCTCCGTATCCTTTAAAGGACGTTGCAGAAAGAACCCCAGCATTTATTCAGTCAGTTATTATATATATATATATATATATATATATATAAATATATATATAGTATTAATCGGCACTTAAAGAAAGACAAAGAAAGTTACAGGACTACAGGTTTCACCACGACTGCCCAAAGTACTTAGACGGTGTTGGTATCATCGTGCTGGCTAAACGATTAAGTATGCCCCAATTATAGTTTCTGTGGAGGTTCAGCTGGCTCTCTAGGATGTGCCCTGTTGGTCTGGAACCAGGAATGATACTTTGTAATCTCAGGATGTCACACCGTCATGTAGCATCGCAGACAGGAGCACATGGAAGGAGGAAGGGAAGTAGACATGGAAACAGGAAGACTGGGTCACAGACACGTGGATACAATGTAAATGACCCTTTTCTACGTCTTCATGCGTATTGGGCATATAGGGTTAGACCTAACTTTATAAACCAATCGGCACTCTGTGGGTGATGTGGTCAAGATCATTTTTTTTATGAGTCTGGCACCCAAACCCACGACCTTTCGATCCGCAGGCGACCATCTAAGTCGCTATATCACGGCGGCTCCTCCTGGATGCATTGACACATGACGGTGGCAACAGCGTTGGCCTGACTAGAGAACTTGACAATTTCTCCTACTTGCTTCTAACTTATTCCATGAACACGCTAAAGAAGATCGAGACAGAATGGAGTCAGAGACAATGGTTCGAGTCAATGAGGACACCTCGTATGGCCGGTTACAGTCTACCCCAATATGGGACTAGTGTTTGTGTGTGTGTTTTTGTGTGTGTTAAATTGTATTTCAAAGCCACACCTTGACTGTTGCGGGGGGGGGGGGGGCCTAATATAACCTTAAGCTTGGACGGGGTTTCTGGGAGTTGCATCCGGGTGATTCTAATCTGAATAGTAGCATTTCTTCTTCTTCTTTACGTTGTCTTTTTACCGCTTAGGGTGTCGAAGGTCCTGCTTCGTGCTTTTCTAGCCGCTTCGACCATAGACATATCGTGGTGATGTAGAGTTTCACTGATGTTATCTTCCTATCGTGTTCTTGGTCTACCCCTTACTCTACGTCCTTCTCTTGTGGTTTATGCCTTGTATGGTACATTATCTCCAAGAGAGCCTTCTGATGCTATACCATGTCACTTTGTGTCACCGGGTGTTTATCGCTTTCTGTGCGGTCCTGGAGGGGGTTGAACTTGACTCAATCGTACGACCGCCATCAGTTTTAATTTGTGCCAGGACAGTCTGGGGTCAGAATAAATCAATGCCAGACTTTTCAGTAAACGTTTATATGGTGCAGAAATCTAACCGAGCTGGTGGAAGTTGAGCTGAGTTGAGTCACGAATTGACATCACACCACTCAGGTCATTCCAATGCGTGCTCCGTCCTTATCTTCAGCAGCCAGCGCAGAGTTCCTATACTGATAGTACCGGTTACAATCTGGTTATATGTCCGTCTTGCCTTTCATCTGAGTGTATTAAGCCAGTCAGACCCTCTGGTTACACCCAGGTGTCTCATTCTCTCCAGGCCATAATAATCTTCTTTCTCTACTCCTGTCCTCGAGCTGGTGGGAATAAACCTCGTTTGATGTCCACAAGTTTCACGAATCAAATTATGACGGCTGCAGATCGTTTCCCTCTTCACCATCTACGACCCCCCCCCCCCCCCC